TTATGGAAGTTAAACAACTTTTCTATGATATTCAAATTTTTTGGAAATGGGCTGTCTTAGTGAGTGGTAAAAGTATGTGAGCCTTTGCTGTCAGTATCTGGTGTGACCCCCCCGTGCAGCAATAACTGCAACTAAACATTTCCACTAACTGTTCATGAGTCCTGCACACCTTGGAGGACTTTGATCCATTCCTCCAGACAGAACAGCTTCAACTCTGGATGTTGGTGGTTTCCTCACATTACCTGCAGCTTCAGGTCCTTCCACAACATCTGGATTGGATGAAGGTCAGGACTTTGACTGGGCCATTCCAGAACATGAACGTTATTCTTCTTGGACATTCTTTGGTAGAACCACTTGTGTGCTGAGGGTCATTGTGTTGCTGCATGACCCACCTTCTCTTAGACTCAGTTCATGGACAGATGTTCTGACATTTTCCTCCATAATCCTCTGATATAATTCAGAGTTCATTGTTCCATCAATGATGACAAGCCGTCCTGGCCCAGATGCAGCAGAACAGGACCAAACCATGATACTTCCACCACCATGTTTCACAGAGGGGAGAAGGTTCTTCTGCAGGAATTCAGAGTTTTCCTTCTCCAAACATAACTCTTTTCATTTCAACCAGGTGTGCCCAAACATTTTCCCTGAGAAGGCCAACTTTAAAATCTATCAGAGGCCTCGGGCCAAATGCAGTGATGTAATGCATGAAATGCAAATGCATCTTTAAGTAAAGTCCATTTATTCATCATACAGTTATTTAACCTTCCATTCTGTATAAAGAACTTTACAGAACCCAAAATATAACTAATACATAAGTCGTATATAAGAAATTAAAACAAATATTGAAATTTTGGCATTTCAGTATAATACGTAGTGCAAAATGTCAAAAACCTGCGTCCAACAGCAACACAACTCAGCAGTGACAAGAATATGAACATAAACAGTTCCATATATACGGTAGTCAATGGGCCGACTTTTCCATCTAACACTAAAGTCAAAGGAGTGAAATCACATTGATTCTTCAAAGGACATTTTAATATAGTCATGAGAACAGTCGGCTGGCCAACTTTGGGCATCTCTGATTTAAACAAAAAGTTCTATTTTGGTCTCATCCATCCACAGAACATTCTTCCAACAGTCTTCTGTCTTGTCCACGTGATCTTTATGAAACTGCAGACGAGCAGCCATGTTCTTGTTGGAGAGCAGTGGTTTCTCCTTCAACCTGCCATGAACCATTGTTCAGAGTTCTCCTGATGGTGGACTCATGAACATCCACATTAGTCAACGTGAGACAGATCTTCAGTTGTTAGAAGGTACCCTGGTCCTTTGTGACCTCGCCCACTATTCCACTCCTTGTTCTTGCAGTGGTCTTTGTTGGTCCACCACTCCTGGGGAGGGAACAACGGTCTTGAGTTTCCTCATTTGTACTCAGTCTGTGGGACTGTGGATCGGTGGAGTCCAAACTCTTTAGAGATGCTGTGTAACCTTCTCCAACCTGATGAGCATCAACAACTCTTTTTCTGAGCTCCTCAGAAATCTCCTTTGTTCCTGCCATGATCCACTTCCACAAACGTTGTGAAGATCAGACTTTGACAGACCTTTTTTTAAATCAAACAGGGTGCCCACTCACAGCTGATCATCATCCCACCGATGGAAAACACCGGACTCTAATTCCACCTTGAATGGACTGGACTTGTACAGCTCCTTTCTATCTGATCAAGACACTTAAAGCTCTTTACAACGATCTGTGCCTCATTGACCCGTTCATACAGCTCTATACTAGATCTCTACAAAGATAATGGAACAAATCATTCTAAAGAGACTAATCAGAGCTTTAGAACACATTCATGCACCGATGGACACACATCGGAGGCCTTGAGGGGTTCAGTGTGTTGCCTGAGACACTTCGACATGTGACTGCTGGTGGATGTTGATCACTTTTTTTGGATGATTACTTCCTCTGGTATTGGACGCTGTGCAGCTGGAAGGATTTTTATAGAAACATTTTTACTTTTGAGCATTTGTTGTGATGCGTAACCATGGTGACAAGGTGTTTTTTAACAACCAGGAGCAGCTGATTAACATCTCAAAAGCTCAAATACATCAGCTACAGCCAAAATGAGTAGAAAAAGAGGCACCTTGGTTGAATTTCCATCAACCTGGCGGCTGTGCTCGAGTACCTGACCACCAAGATCATGGAGCTGGTGGGAAACTCAGCTTTTGACAACGCCGGCACCGTAAGCTGTCGGTCCGTGGTGACGAGAAGCTCGGCAGACTGCAGGTAGGAGTGACCATCGCTCAGGGAGGAATTCTACCCAGCAGTCGATAACAACTGGAATGAAACCAAGATGACGAGCTACGACAACACTTAATTTCCCTCTGGGATTAATAAAGTATTTTTGAACTGAACTGAATTTGAACCCCCAACTCTTACATTGGAGGACGACTGCTCTAACCGCTCAGCCACAGCCGCCCCTTCACATTACCTGTTAATCCCAGAGGTTCACACACGTTTGCCACTCACTAATATGTAATATTGGATCATTTTCCACCTTAAATAAATGATTAAATGATTAAATGATTATTATGATGGCTTGACACTAAATGACCACCACACTTTTCATAGTTTTTAATAAGAAAAATTATTAAAAAGTGTGTATCAGTTTTCTTCTGAGTACTTTGATGTTTGTGGTTGTAGAGCAAAGCAGATGTGGAAAAGTTCAAAGGAATTTGAATACTTTCTTTTAAGGAACTGTAAATGATTATTGCAAATTTCATGTTATATATGGTTTCTAATTGTGGTTTTGTGTTGTTGGCAGTCAGCTGGATAAAAACCGTGTCAGTTGTATCGAGGAGGGAGCGTTTCGAGCTCTTCGATCGCTCGAAGTGCTGTGAGTAATCTGAGAGCATCGTTTCTCTAATTGTTTCCCATCTCTAAAAATATGCAGGTTTTTTGTGAAAATGACCGAAAGTATAACATTTTCTGCCACAATTTTTAGTGTCTCTGATGTGTATAAAGGAACATTTTTTCCATAATTTCTGTTACACTTCATACCTTCCTCATCCTTTTCCGTCACCTTTGCCTCTTTCCCTCTCATCTGCTCGGTCTCCCTTTATTGCTCCATTTTGTTTCTTGATGCCTTCATCTTTGTTTCTCCCAGCACGCTGAACAACAACAACATCACTACCATCCCCGTCTCCAGTTTCAACCACATGCCAAAGCTCCGCACCTTGTAAGTAGCACTGTTCATTGGCTGCTTACAGAGGCAAACATCTGGCTGGCTGCCTGTCGACGCACTCTTAAACTCTTCTTCGTTTTCTCTGTATCTGTTCGCCTGTCTGCCTTCCTGCAGTCGTCTTCATTCCAACTCCCTGCGCTGTGACTGTCACCTGGCCTGGCTGTCTCCTTGGCTGCGGCAGCGGCCAGCGTTGGGCCTCTACACGCAGTGCACTTCTCCCCCCTCTCTGAGGGGCCTCAACCTTGCAGAGCTGCGAAAAAGTGACTTTGCCTGCTCAGGTACAGCAGCTTGGGTGTAAACACAGATAATGGAATGAAGGCTCAGACTTTGCTCTTCTTGTCTTTTTAAGGTTACAGTGGCAGTGCCTTTGTTCAGCCGTGCAGTTTGGCATCTGGATCCTGTCCTCCAATGTGTTCCTGCAGCAACAATATAGTGGACTGTCGGGGGAGAGGTCTCACTGCCATCCCGGCCCACCTGCCAGAGGCCATGACTGAGATGTGAGTAGCCCCAAAGTAAAACGTATTCAGCATTTTTATTTCACCTCAAAGTTAAATTAAGGTGACCAACTGCAGTACTGACGATGCATGGATGTCCTTCACCACGGTCGTTATCTTTCTTAAAAGCTTGACTTTTGTGGCGGCACGGTGGCTCAGTTGGTACAGCTGTTGCCTCTCAATGAGAAGGTTGCTGGATTGAATCCCGGTCCGGGACTTTCTGGGTGGAGTTTGCATGTTCTCTCCGTGCATGTGTGGGTTTTCTCCGGGTACTCCAGTTTCCTCCCACAGACCAGAAACATGCATGTTAGGCTGATGCGAACTCTAAATTGTCCCGAGGTGAGAGAGAGAGAGTGAATGGTTGTTTGTCTCGTTTGTCTCTATGTGTCCCTGTGATGGACTGGAGACCTGTCCACAGTGCCTCTCACACAGTGACTGCTGGACATGGGCACCAGTGACCCTCACGGCCTGGAAAAGAAGACGTGGGTAAAGATAATGGATGGATGTTTGTGTTTACGTTTGTTTGGTGTTGGATGGCAGTGATTATGACTAACATATAAAATCCCATTTCATTACTATTACATCCTAACAACAAAGCTCATTACTGGTATTTGAGATTGGAGAAAAAATCTTTAGAAATAAATTTGTGTGCCTTTTTATCACAATGACATCACCAACAAGTCCCAAAACAAAAACATGTACACGAAATAGGAAAGTTCATCTCTAGGCGACACTGTCGTATGGCAACTGTAGCTTATGTCAAAAAATTTTAATTTTCACAATTATTTTGCAACACACTGTGCCAAACCTCTGAAATAATCAGACTGAAACAGGTTAATGCATACAGTAATAAAAGACAGATAGTACTGGAAATATCACCATCCATTCATTAAAAACATTTTTGCCATTTTGGGGTCTTTGAAGTTTCAGAGCCCTAAAGAGCAAAAATGAGACCAAAGTTTATTTTGGGCTTCATGGAAGAAAACAGATGTTTTTTTTAATAAATGGTAAATGGACTGTACTTGTATATCTCCGTTCTATCTGATCAAAACACTCAAAGCTCTTTACAACAGTCTGTGCCTCATTTACGCATTCATCCAGCTCTATACTAGATCTATAATCAGAGCTTTATCACATTCACTGATGAACACACATCAGAGGCTACGAGGGGTTCAGTGTGTTGCCCAGGGACACTTCAGCATGTGACTGCTGGTGGAATCGAACCCCCAGCTCTCGTATTGGAGGACGACTGCTCTAACCACTGAGCCACAGCCACCCAAAACAAGAGAACCTTTTACAGAAAAGAAAACTTTACCTTCAATTTGCAGACTGTGTATTTCTTGGAGTTAAAGGATTATTTCTTACTGATTTACTTCCCTCTTCCAAATACAACAAAGACCCTTGTCTTTATTGACCACAACAGGCTGTTTTTGGACACCTAATAGAACACAGTCTGCATATTTTGGCTCACTGGTGTGACTGGCGCACACTCAGTAGCATGACAGACGTAGTGGGAGGTAACATGGACAAATTCAATAAATAGATTTTACAGGCCATTACATGGACATACTTTTGATTTCAGCCAGTTCCCCCAGTGTGATGTTCCTCTGCTAGTGATTCGGGGAGCATTGTGACTGATGTCAGATGGAGAGCATGGCTGGTTTACAACCTTCAGTCAATTCATAGCAGACTTGGATGAGCCAGAAGTTGTTGTTTTTTCTAAGAGCGGCCGTTGTACAAGGATTATTACTGTTCGCTCATTATTCCTCAGTTTCTCTCATAGGTTTTCATTTATGGCTTCTCCTGCTGTTTATGAAAAACTTATTAAAATACATCACAATGTGATAATTGGGATTAGTGCGCTTTGAATCTTAGTAGCAGTACAATAAAAGAAAAACAAGTAAATGTTTTTAAAAAACTGTACAAACAATCTTACATACATATATTTTTAGTAAGTCTGTTGAGAAAAGTCAGGCCTCGGGATCCTTATGGCTCAGTCGCAGCAGAACCGTTCAAAGAGTACACGGGTCACAGGAAGATGACACATGATCAAATGGGACCGGGACCCTGAACAGTGATTTTTTTTACACAGTCGCTCTTAAAGTTTTAAGATTCGTGAGCATTTTACCACAGAATAAGTGTGTGATGTCACACGTTCAACTCTGTCTTGACTCTGTCTAAACGAACAAAACAAGAACAACTATTATTTCCCAGCTTTGAAACCGATCACACAGTTTATAGATCAACTGCAGACAGTTTTGTCTTCTTGGACACAGTGTTTCTGTTGGTTTTTGGACCTGTGGTTTTCTCTGAAATATCCTCAGAATCCAGAGATTTCACACAAACTCAACGCCTTCCATCGTATCTGAGCGCTGAATTATTTTCTTCCAAACTGGAAATGATTCTTTTGAACTTGTCCTGTTTCCTACACTTTACACACACATTTCTGCACAAATGACCAAATTACTCAAGGTTCCAGATTTTTGCTTGTTAATATAACTATCAGTTTTTCCAGAGTCCGTAGCAAACTTTTTTATAATGTTTACATGTTCTTTACTAGTTTGCTATCTGTGGATACAGGAACATTTATTTGTTCTTCTTTACTTTAATAATAATATGTTGTATGTTGGGCCAGTGGAACTCCACAGGCGTTTAAATATTTTACTGCTGGTAACATATTTGTTTCTCCTTTAGCCGTCTGGAACAGAATGGGATCAAGTCGGTTCCTCCAGGCGCCTTCACCTCCTACAAGAAGCTCTGTCGCATGTGAGTTCTTTAACACGTTTTGCTAAAAAGAAGTGCTATTGAAAATAAAAGAATAGCTCTGCTGAAATCAACTATTGCACGTACATTTCTTATAATCTTTTAGTGAACATGATAAGTAATTCTCATCAAGTCCACTTTATAAATGGTAAATGGACTGCACTTATATGGCACATTTCTATCTGATCAAGATCCTCAAAGCTCTTTACAACAATCTGTGCCTCATTTACCCGTTCATACAGAACTCTACTAGACCTCTACAAAGATTAATCAGAGCTTTATCACATCCATACACCAATGGGACGCACATCAGAGGCTTCGAGGGGTTCAGTGTCTTGCCCAGGGACACTTCAGCATGTGACTGCTGGTGGAATCAAACCCTCAGCTCTCGTATTGGAGGACAACTGCTCTAACCACTCAGCCACAGCTGCAATTCAAAGATTTTCTTTGGACGTTGGCGGCTTTTCATCTATTTTGGTTCAGTCATTTTACCCAATTGGGACAGCATGTTGTACAAAATAGGAAAAATGGACAAAAGAAGTAAAATGTTACGCCTAAAAACTATGTACAGCAGATGAACAATATCCAACGGTCATGCACAGCCCCTCTTCTGTGTGGGGTGCCCCAGGGTTCCATTTTGGGCCCTTTGCTCTTTTCCTTGTACATGTTGCCACTTGGATTTATCATAAGACAGCACAATGTCAACTTTCATTTTTATACAGACAATTTGCAAATGTATTTACCATTGAGGCCAGGATCCAGTAACAAATCTATTTATCATTGAGGCCAGGATCCAGTAACAAATCTATTTACCATTGAGGCCAGGATCCAGTAACAAATCTATTTACTATTAAGGCCAGGATCCAGTAACAAATCTATTTACCACTGAGGCCAGGATCCAGTAACAAATCTATTTACCATTGAGGCCAGGATCCAGTAACAAATCTATTTACCATTAAGGCCAGGATCCATTAACAAATCTATTTACCATTAGGGCCAGGATCCAGTAACAAATCTATTTACCATTAAGGCCAGGATCCAGTAACAAATATATTTACCATTGAGGCCAGGATCCAGTAACAAATATATTGACCATTGAGGCCAGGATCCAGTAACAAATCTATTTACCATTGAGGCC